AAAAAAAAAAAAAAACAAATCATAGTAAAATTAATATCTTCTCAGCTTTGCATCGAAGCTAAAAAATTTCAAGCTTACTTGAGACCTATTAAAAATATACCATATAATGACGTTAATTTTGATATCCACACTGTCAATTTTGGACTTCAAATTTTGAAACTAAAAAATTTGTATTCTACAGTAAAAATCAAACTATTTTGATATACTAATCATAATATTTGACCAAAAATTAAATAACAGAAGCAATTTCTAGTTATTTGGGGTATTTTTGGTCGAAATACTAAAAACACGTTTTGCCACTGGTGTAATTTTTTTTAAAAATCTCAAATATCCACAAAATGCCTATTTTAATGTATAAAATAAATTTAATATGGTTCTTATTAAAATTTCGAAGATCGACTTTTTGATCCATCCTAGTATACATAACTGGTGAAACAGCTACCACACAAGTTGGTCCGGCTGGTATCAAACACTTTATTTTTTAGGCCTTTTCCGTTTCTAACTACTTTATTTCTTCTCAACTGTTTTTCTTGCGTACATCATAGATAAGACAATCTGTCTAAGTTACCTTTAGGACACCTCATAATTATTGACACAATTTTACTCTGGCGTCGACCTGATGCAACCTCTTTAGTCGTTCTTAAGACTGGTAGAGGAACCGAGAAAATATGTTTCTATCCACAGGAATAGGGGATAAGAATAATACACTAAATAACTGTAATTTCTACAATATATGTAGCTATATAAAGACCACATTTTTTTTTCAAAATTGTATTTATTTGATTGCAATCGAGTGGTTTATGATAAACCGATTACGTTTTATTCCTGACACGAAAAAACCGTTCACATTATAGAGTGTTCAGTAAGTAAGGAAAAGAATTTCTATTGTTCTCGTTGTTTGAAAAAAATGACCTATTTTCTTTATTTTTGAACACACATATTTAATGTCCTTTGTTGTAAATTGCTACCTTTCAGAAAAATGTCTAGAAAACTTGTTCGTTCAACTCGAACGAATCGAACCCCCCTGTACTTGTGCATTAAAGTATGATGCCTTCACAATTGATCTAAACACTTATATTCTGTAATGTTTAGTATTGAATAAATATTTTCTAATATTAAAAGTGATAAAATTGTTTTATATAGGCTACAGCAAAAGAGAAACCTGTGGAGAAATGTTATTTATTGAGTGTTAGCAAAGTTTCATATGGCAGAGAAACTACAGGAACTTGTGAAGTAGATGGATCGCCTACTCCAATTCATAGACTAGTTGTTTATCATTTGAAAGGAGCTTGGACTACAAGGAATAGAGATGTGGCTTTTGCATTATTTAATTCTTTAGTAAAAAACCAGGTAAGGCTATACTAAAAAACTATTAACAAATTACTACTATAATACAGTCATATAATAAAAATTGATCAATTGTGGCTAATTAATTAAGTAAAATTAAAACTATATTAAAAATATTATTAATTTAAAAAAACTAAAAAATATTAAAAATATTAAACTCAAAAGCCACAAAAAAATTAATGAAAAGTCGCGGATACGTATTTCGGAAACAATGTTACCATTATCAACGCTAAACACATACTGACACCCCGACTAGAAAAAACTCCCTTATATACCCCTAGTGACCTTATCACCCAGTGACGTAATCACTAAGTAATATTATCACATATTGCCTGCCAGTTTACACAAGTTTAATAATGAATTTTTCAGTGGGCCAAGATCCCAATTAATTAAATTGTTTTTATTTTTAAACATTTCTATTGCTTTTCTGATATTAAGTTCTTTGTAATTATTTACGTTTTTAATTAGTTTTATGGTTTTAATCGAGTGATTATGTGACAATAAGTGTTCAGCCACTGGAGATTTCTCAACTTCTTGATTTTTAATATTTTTTAAGTGCTCTTTAAACCTGACCCCTATATTTCTTTTTGTTTGTCCTACGTAACATTTATTACAACTTTCACATTGTATTCTATAAATGCCTGATTTCCCCCCTTCATCTACCTTATCTTTAGGGTTACCTAATAAATCTCTTAATTTATTACTCTTAGATGTTACTATATTCGATAGTTGTATTCCGTAGCGATATGTGCGTGTTCTATTGTTCTCTATTATTTTATTTTTCTCTTACCTTAATAATTGTGCTATTATCTCAAAATTAATACCATTCGTTCCGTTTTGTTACACTGATGCTTTATCTACCGTCTTTTGGAAGTTGCTGATTGTTCCAAATCCTTCGCTGACTACAATTTGGTAATCTTAATATACTTATTACTAACATCAAATCATAATAACTATCAATTATCTCTCGGAACTCTCCGGTCTTGCGGCGGGCGTTCCTATCTTATCTCATTCAATGTCTATCCCCATAAAACCGCTATCGGTCTGTTCACAAATTAAATCTAAACAAACATCCAAAAATAAAAATAATTCAAATATTAACACTGCGAATCGCATACAGAGCGTTTCTAATCTATCAAACACTTCTTACGATGTTTTTTTGGACGATGAAACTCTTTTGGGTTTTCAAACAGTGAAAAATAACTATAAACTTAACCTTTCGTCAACCAGTTCTACTGAAAAATCCGAAATGAAGAAATCCAAACCCATCTTTGTAAGCACCAACAGGTTCAACTTACTACATTCTCATGATACAGAAAAGTCTATTGAAACGAATGATACATCAAATATAAATTCTAATAATACTGATATTCAAATAAATCATACCCCGCCATCTCCTCCAATATTCGTTCATAATGTTGCTGATTTTATTGAATTGCGAAATCAATTAATAAAACTGATCGATTCTCAAAACTTTAGCTTTAAATCATCTGCTAATAACCTAAAAATTAAAACTACTAATTCTGACTCGTACAGAAAAGTCATCAACTATTTAAAAACAAGTGATGCAGAATATCACACATATCAAGCCCGTGAACAAAAAGCCTTTCTTATCGTTATACGTAACTTGCATCCCTCTACACCAACTACTGAAGTTGGCGCTGCCATCAAAGAATTAGGCTACTCTGTCCGCCAAGTTAGAAATATTATTCATAAAAATACTGAACACCCCCTTCCAATATTTTTTATGGATCTTGAACCCGCCCAAATCAACAGTGAATTATTCAAATTAACTTCGTTGCTCCATACCAAAATAAAGGTAGAAGAGCCTCACAAACATCGTGAAATTATTCAATGTTCAAATTGTCAAGAATACGGTCATTCAAAAGGATATTGTGCTCATCCTCCTAGATGTGTTCGTTGCGCAAAATTCCATCCCACTTCATAGTGTACTAAATCAAAAGATACCCCTCCTACTTGTGCTCTTTGTAAAGGTAACCACACAGCAAACTACCGTGGTTGCTCAGTACACAAAAACTTACAACGGTCAAATCTCAAATCTAACAAACCCCTTAAAAATATTAACACTATTGTAAAAAATCAGGAGTTGCGATCCAATGATGGGACTCACTCTACCCCTCCTAACATCTCAGACAATAAAATCTTTCCTAATCTTACTCAAAATACCCAAATCCATAGTTTTTCAAGTAAAGTCGATTCTCAAATAAATTCACTAGAAAATTCATCTAACAACCAATTATCCTCTTTTTTAATAGAGTTCAAACAACTCATTTACCCCTTAATTCAATTACTTACCACTGTAATTAACAAATTAATTCCAAATAATCAAACTAATAATAAGTCTCTTAATATCATTCTTTGGAATGCTAATGGTCTTAAACAAAAAGAATCTGAATTTTTAAACTTTTTTATAGATAATAAAATTGATATAGCTCTAGTCACTGAAACACACTACACAGATAACTCCAAACATTTTTTTCCTGGTTACAATATTTACAAAACAAACCACCCAGATGGTACGGCACATGCGGGTTCTGCAATTCTCATCTCATCCTTAATACAACACCACCTTCTACCAAGTGTACTATTACAGACTGTCCAAGCAACAAATATCTCAATTTCAATAAATCATAATCCTATAATTATTTCAGCAATATACTGTCCTCCTCGACCAAACATATCTCAGCCCCACTTAGAGCAGCTTATTTCCTCATTAGGACGCAAGTTCATCGCTGGGGGAGATTTTAATTCCAAGCACGCATTATGGGGTAGTCGCGTTGAAAATCCTAGAGGGAGGCTATTTTACAATTCTATTATATCTTACGGTTTTTCAACTATTTCACCTCCTGGTCCTACTTACTGGCCAACACATAGGAATAGACTACCTGACCTACTTGATTTTTTTATATCATCAATCCCGGATCATATAAATCACTCTATTCATAATATATGTGACCTATCATTTGATCATTCACCCGTTTTGTTAAAGATTGAAGAATTTCCAATACAATCTCCTCCTCGCCTCTCCCTTTCCAAAGGACCTATAAATTGGAATCAATTTTCCTCAACCTTAGAAAATAGTACAAATTTAAAAATCCCTCTAAAGTCTTGCAACGAAATTGACTCCGCAGCCCAACAATTAGTCAGCTCAATTCAATCAGCTGTACATGAATGTTCTTATGATTCCACTCAAAATTCCAATTCAAAATTAAAATCTTTTCTTTTACCTTCCAATATAAAAATACTAATTGCTGAAAAACGTAGGGCCCGCACCCGTTGGCAAAGAACTAGACTTCCTTCAGACAAGTCTACTTTCAATAATCTATCTAACTCCTTAAAAAAAAATAATTCAAAAATATAAAACAACCTCTTTGACACGAAATTCAAATCCCTCAACTTTCAGGACGGTTCATTATGGAAAACCACTAAAAATATGCTTAAACTGAAAGATTTTTCCTGTCCTATTAAAAAAATAAATGGTTCGCTTGCCTTATTTGATCTTGACAAATCCGATATTTTTGGAGAACACCTTTCGAATATTTTCACACCTCACCTTGATATTATTCCTAGCAATTCTCAATTAATCAAAATAAATAATTTTTTAGATTCTCCACTACCTATGTCTCTCCCTACTAAACATATACATTATAATATTATTGATAACAATTTCATCTTCTCTTAAACAATTTTTAAACTACAATTTGGTGCGCGCTTTTTTTCCTCTAGTAACTTAAAACATTTCGTATGATTTTATTGAACTCTGGAAGTCAATTTAGCCTGTTAAACTTAGTTTTTAGTTATTTTTTCTGTCTTTCTACTTCAACTTTTTGTGAGTACTGATCACTTTTTTCTTGTTCTTATCATTTTGTTGTTGCTACACGATATTGCCATCAGCTGTTTTTGTTTGTTGCTAAACAACTACCACCATTCAAAATCTTATCAATCTATCTTTTGGAGAATTTAACGCTGGATACTGAGATAGATCAGCATGAGTAACTCTAACTCACCCAAAACCGCTCTTAATCTAATTATAACGAGGTCTAACTCTGCTACAGCTACCAAAATCTCTAAAAATACACTTCCTGCACCTACCCCCCTTTCTGCAGAAGAATTCCGGATAGCTTTCGCTGAAATTCAAAACACTCAAAAACAATGCAAAACCTTATGTGCGTCTCTAAATAAAATGTTCAGCGAACTAAAGAATAGCGTTGACTTTCTATCTTCCCAATTAGCAGAGATTCGTTCTGAAAACACTGTCATCAAATCTGACATCTCTACTCTTCAGGAAAGAGTTGCTTCCCTTGAATCCGCATCAAAAAAATAGCAACCTTCCTACTCTTTTGAGTGAAATTTCAGAACGAGAGAAGTCGCTTTTCAACATTGTCGTTCATGGTCTCTCTGAGTCATCAGTAGCTTCACCTTCTTCTTGAGCGAATGATGATATTAAAAAACTTAATGAAACCATTCAACCATTATCACTGTCTATTCCCTCCGATTACAAGCTTTTTAGACTCGTCCGCCCGAAAAATACAAAGCCTAGACCACTAAAAGTTATCTTTGCTTCTAAAGAGCAAGCTTCAAACTTTGTTGTTGACTTCAACACCGCCAAACGCTCTTTGGGAGCTGATAATAATCTGCAAAATATTTATGTTTCGCGAGATTGTACTCTACTGGAGCGACAAAAAATCCGTCGTGTCTACCTAGATCTTGACAACCGTATAAAGCAAGGAGAAACTGGCATTGCAATTAGATACAGAAATGGATTTCCACATATTGTAAAAAATAACCTCACCAACGGCGGCTCTTCTAGGACTTCTTATGCATCAAAAAACTAAGCTTGTCTTCTGATTTTGTCATCTCTAAATTGCACCAACACACATCTTTCGTCAACGATCCATCTTGCTCTTTTTGTATTCTTTCTTCTTCAACTATAAATTACTTTTCTAACTTTGTCTCCCTACATTCTAATACTATACGTAATT